TATTGTAAGATTTAAATTGACCCATATCAACTCAATCTGCTTGCCACTGATCATCAGTATGTGCTACGAAAACTGTTCTTTTTTTACATTTAAGTCTAATTTGTACATGTTTTATATATTCATTCTGTTTATGTAAAAATTATGTTCTTTTTTTTTAGGTAACTAGGATTTTCCTTTTAATTCTTGTACACCACTAAACCTCTCTCTGGATTACATTATATTTTTTTCAAATGTTTTTCAACAATTTAGACTTTTTATACCACAAACTTTACACATTCTTTTAACATAGACCTCCCATCCTTTGGGGCAACTTCTTTAATATTGGCTGTTTCAGCTTTTGTTTTATACTTTACACAGTACATAACAGAAAAAATTCCAAGGCCCAATGTTTCATTAACTTTAATAATTGGCTTTATAATTCCTCTAGTAATTGTTTCACCTAAAGATAGATCTTCAATAGTATTCAAATCCACTATTAATTATTGATCTGCAATATGTCTATCAGTTGTATCTGTTGATTTACTATAAGCAATATCATGTTTCTTACATGCTTTGTCTACTCTATTAATATCAGTATCATCTCTAGTTAGGCGCTTTTGAAGTTTGGTAAAAGGTCTACAATACTGAAACCGGGTAAATGCATCTCAAGGGAAATAAATTCATATTGCATCCAACTAACTAACTGGTGTTAACCAAAACACAAATTAAACAGATAAATGATAAAAAGAGGATTATAATATCAAATGTAGAATTAAAACGAAATATATTATTTTTACCATTTTTGATTCCTATATTAATAATAGTTGACAAAACAATTTTGACTGGTGCAGCTGGTGGATTGGGCATTCAGGGTGTGAAAAAAGATAATGGATAAAGTCAGTGGATCTGGATTTCCTAAAGGTTCTACAAAATGGGAAAGGAGTAATCTAAAATTCGGAAATGCCGCGGTGACTAATGAAGATATATAGAAAATAATGAAAATGGCTTTAGATGTGTTTACCCTTTTGATATATTACGTATGAAGATAAAATCATTTGAAAATGGAATTGTTCAATTAAATAAAGGTATAGGACCTGGTAATCATTAGGTTTAGTACTATAATGATCCAAAATATAGTTTCAATCCTTATGGAGAATAAAGAATAAATAACGGAATTTTTTCTAAAGATATAATATAAAAAAAGAAATTGAACAATACTTAACATCAAATGAGGAAGAAATTAGATACATTTCGAGCTTTATACAGAGATTATTTCATGCGAATATTATCATATAAAAGAAAGAAACACGGTCGTAGTTCTTATGAAGTGTATATACATTTACTTAAGTACTGAGTAATTTCAATTACAATTATGTAATGAAGAAAAACTTAATAACATTAATAATAATAGTTTTAGATTCTAAAGATAACGAGCATTCTGGACTTTACAATAGAATTTAAAACTTCTATTGATGAAAGTAAAGGAAGTTATTCTTTGGGATTAAAATCTAGGTTAATGTGGATATCATAGAATAACATCGGTGAAAAATGTAATAATAATACTTTTAACTATTGCAACGGAAATAATTGGAAAAACGTACAGATTGAAAACGGTAATTATACTCTATGCAAGATGAACAATGTTTCATCTATATTATTTAATGAAGACGATCCTCGTATAAAATTTAGTATTCAATTTGCGATTTCAGGGTTTATAATCAAATTAGCTCTAAATTTTCAGATAGATTTATCCAATGGGAATCTGTACAGAATATTAGGATTTGAACCAAAAATCTATTCTTATCAAGAACAAAGAGGAAAATTTATAGCCTCTAAAGGTGTACGAGACATTCAATGTGATATTATCAATAGAGTAGTATACAGTAATGAGTTTATCGATGTTTTGTTTTCCTTTATTCCTTCTAATCCACGTGGAAATTTAAGTTGAAGAAACAAATACAATAAATGCAGATGTTAGTAGATCAAATTTTATTTATACAATAATAAGAAAGATTACAGATTAAAACGATCATCCAATTAACTTGAACAAACAATGATTGGTACATAGATTACTTTTAAGTAGTAATAAATGAAATTTAACAAAATCAAATCACGACCTATATCTCCAGAATGTAACTTTATTAGCTCAATATTTCCCTATTACAATTTCGTCAGGAGCTATCGATATCCCACAAATTCCCTAATCCAGTTAAGTCTAAATCAGTTAAATCTTTTGGTAGAATCTACATTGTAAGAAACATAATCTTTAAATGTTGATGCTAATTTATCAATTCTATCTTTACCATTCTCACCACCCAGTGTTGCTTATCCATCGTCATCAAATACCAAAATTGACGCAGGATTTCCAGATGATTTCATTCTATCTAAGAACATTTTGTAACAGTTTTGGGTTGTGTTTTAAAGGGATAGAAGACAAAGCAATCGCAGGTGGCGCGGAATCCCATGCCTGTGATGGGGAGGCAAAATTGAGGGGTCTGGAGGGAGGGCTGGACAACGAGAACGCTTGCTAATAATATTCATTTTCGATGTTTTTGGCGATTTTGAGCTATTGAGTGATTATTTTCGGCTTATGTTTCCTGTTTTAGAATATTTTGGGTTATTTTTAATGATTTTGACCTTCATCTTTTTGGTGTTTTTGAAATTCGTTTGCCTTCAAATGGCACAAAATAACATATATCTACTACCACCGCTAGCACGATAATCTTTATTAGAAGTTATATTAGTGTATTGAGCATAGTGTTCCATATTGGTTAAGCGTAGCGAAAGATTATAGAATTCAGTATCGCTGACACGACTATGCTCATTATAATTTATGTTAGTGAATTGGGCGTGTTGATCCAAATTAGTCAAGGAGTGCTAGAGTAGCTAACGTACAAAAAATATAATACCAGTAACATGACATTCTTCATTATAAGTATGTTAGTGGATTAAGCGTGGAGTTCCATATTAATCAAGCGTAGATAAAGCAACAAGAATCCAGTAAAATCTCATCTTATATTAGTGGAACGAGTATGATCTTCCACATTATTATAGCGTAGCTAACGCCACAAGAATTCAATACTGTCAACACGAAAATCTTCATTATAAGTATGTTAGTGGATTGACCGTGGTGTTTGACATTAGTCACTAGTAGCTAACACTCCAAGAATTCATTACTGTCAACACAACACTCTTCATTATAAGATATGCTAGTGGATTGGAGGTCGTTGTTCCACACTAATCAAGAGTATCTAACGCTACAATAATTCGGTGCTACTGACACAACAATTTTCATTATAAGTTAGTGGTGTGCATGTTGTTGCACATTAGTTAAGCGTAGCGAAAGGTACAAGAATCTAATACCGCTAACACAATAATCTTTATTACAAGCTATGTTAGTGGATTGAACGTTTTGTTCACTACAAGAATTCAGTTTCAATAACATAACAATCTTTATTTTAAGTATGTTAGTGGATTGAGCGTGGTTTTCAACATTAGTCAAGAGAAGATAATCATACAAGAATTCAATACCACTAACATGACAATCTTCATTATAAGACATGTAAGTGGATTGAGCGTGGGGTTCCACATTAGTCATTACTCGAACGTACCTAAAGATAGAAGAATTCAGAACCACTAACATGACAATCTTCATCATTTAGTATATTAGTGAATTCGGCGTGGTGTTTCACATTAGTCAAAGACTGATGAAGTAACCTAACTGCACAAGAATGCAGTACCGGTAACACAACAATCTTCTTACCAAATTATGTTAGTGGATTGAGCGTGTTGTTCTTGATTAGTTAAGTATTGCTGGGGTGGCTAACGCTTAAAGAATTCAAAACCAGAAACACGACAATCTTCATTATAAGTATGTTAGGGAAAGGAGCGTAGTGTTCCATATTAGTCAAGCATAGCTAACGCTATATGAATCCAGTATTAATAACACGATAATCTTCATTATAAGTATGTTAGGGAAAGGGGCGTAGTGTTCCATAGTACTCAACATATTAAAAGCTACAAGACTTTAGTACCGTAAACATAATCTTCATTACAAGTAAAGTTAGCGTTGTGAGTGTGGTATTCCACATTTGTCAAGGAATCCTGGAATAGCTAATATTTGAAGAATTTACTTACACTAACACTACAATCTTCTGTTATGTTAGTGGATTGTGCGTGGTGTTCCACATTAGTCAAGCTTAGCTAACGCTGTAAGAATTGAATACCGCTAACACGACAATCTTCTTTCCAAGTTATGTTAGTCGATTGAGCTTTTAGTTCCACATTAATCAAGGATTGCTGGAGTAGCTAACGTAAAATAGAATTCAGTACCACGAACATGAAAGTGTTCATTATAAGATACGTTAGAGGATTGGGTATGGTGTTTCACATTAGTGCTGTATATATAATGCTACAAGAATTCGGTACCACTAACTCGACAACCTTCAGTTCAAGTTATGTAAATGTATTGAGCGTGGTGTTCCTATTAGTCTCTGATTGCTTAAAGTAACTAACTCTACAAGACATCGGGACTACTAACACGACAATCTTTATTATAAGTTATGTTAGTAGAATGAACGTGGTGTTCCACGCCAGACTAGAAAAAATCTACATTGAAACTACTTCAGGCCATTTTAAACCTCTAACAAGAATATTTTTAATTATATGATATGAAAAAGCATGAATATTAGAGAGCAGTTATTATTCTATTACGTAACCTTATAACCAATAATTAATAATTTTAATTAGGCCCGGCTGTAAGCATAAAATGAGAAAATTTCCATATTATGGAAAATTACACAGAAATTTTGACTCAAATAAAATAAAGTCTGAATATATTTATATACAAAAGAGCTTTATTAAATGTATTATATTCTTTGATTTAATGTTATATGAGCCCTACAAATTGTCTATAACAAATTAAACTGTCCATTTTAAAATTATTCAAATTATTTTAACAATATTATAGGAGACCATGATAATAATTAACATTTATAGTGACGAAAATGCTTTCCACTAACCTTTCTCCTGTGCTGTGTTTTTCCTGTTTTGTTATGATGTATCTTTTAGGTAACTGTTTATCAACTTTGTAAGGGCCAACAGAAATTCCTAATTCCCCGAAATTGTTTCTTTTTAACTCGACAAAAAATGTTTGGGAGTCTTGTACGTATTGTAGAGACAACCTGTGTTGAGAACAGTCATTACTGGATCCACTTCGTAATCTTGAATGCCCTCTGTAATCAAGATGGTCCTCGAGCCATTGTTTCCTCCATTTGTTATCGTAGGAAGATACAACGAAATGACTGGCCTTTTTTAACTTTAACTCATAATTTAAATCGCCGCTCACGTCTTCACGAACACAGGTTTCCACCCTGTTTATATTTACGTTTCCTTTTCCTATAGTTTCGGAATGAATCGAGGAACAGTTTCCACAAAACTCTTCTGTTGAGTGATTTCTATCTACACACAGATTTAGTGCAAATAAACTATTTCTTTTATCGTCGTCATTGAATGAATCACCCTCTTTCGAAAAAAACTGCTTAGGTGTTTTCTTTCGTTTGTTTCTAAGAAACTTGCGGTCTAAAGTCCATGCCTTAAATTGCTCAAATTTAGAACTTGATTTTTTGACTTCACAATTAGGTCTAACTACTGATGTAAAGTTGTTGGTTTCTTTTCGTTCCGTGGTTTTATTCCGGTCACAAAGGTGATTTTCTTTGTCTGGTAACACGTCAGAATAAGGCTTTGGAGTCAAATTTTGAACTTCATTTCTTAATATTGGCTTCAAATCACAAGCACTCTTTGTCCTTTTATGCCCTCTGCTGAAAAGAGGCTTAGCTAGATGATCAGTTTGTCCTGAACTGGTCAGTTTCTGTAAAAACATGGCAAATTTCTGAAGATTACTTTCTGTTGACATTGTTGTACGCTCGTAACTGTTGCTTTCCTGACGAACTGTTTTTAGTGGATGAGAAACTCCGAAGTTTTCATTTGATGTATCGTGTTTTCCTTCAAACGGAACTTCTTCTCTGCTGTTTTTCGTGCTGTCACTGTCGTAACCCGATTCATCAGACCGAAGTTGAAGTGAACTGGCAGAAGAAAACTGAAGGCCACAACGACGCTGCTCCGATGTTACAGGATTTCTTTTATAACTATCAACAAAAACGTTCTCCTCGATCAGCGTCCCGAGCTGAGATTTAGTCTTCCTCGCGTGAAACATTTTGTTACATGGCCAAATCGTATATTACACAATACCCTCGACCACAGAAACTACAGTTGTTTGTTTTGGACTTATGTACTGACGCACATTCTCTCTCCTCAGCACCAACACATGGTATATCGGAACTATCTGTGAGAAACGCGGACTTTAGCTAGTGCTACTGCTCACAACGTACGTTACACCTCCCACAGGGTCAGGCGTGATGCTTCTCCTGCTGCTGTGAGTCATTCTCATGTTTACACTGCTTCCAGATGTTGTTACACCTTCAGCAGGGGTCCACCGGGGATGTGTCCAAAGCACGGGACATGTTGCCAGTGCCATCTGAAATAATGCTTTGCGTTCCAGTTACACATCCCTGTCTGCCGCCCTTCAGAAGCGCACCACGTGATCAATATTACGTTGGATCTACAAATTTCACGAAACAAGATATTTTTAAAATTACCAAACCTTCAGTCAGAAGTTATTATTACAAATTATTGATTCAACCCTCTTCCATTGACGCAGTGGTCACTCAACCCCCTCTAGGATCAAGAAAACCAACTTGCTGATTCGCCATTTCTTCTGAATAATGATCATATTAATGCAAGAAAATATTAATTAATGATATATGGTGCTAAAACAAATAACCAAAACAGAGTTAATAAATACTTACCCCAATACTGATGTGCTGTGTAATAAATAAAATTGATGAAAAATTTTATCAGCTTAATCCATTCCATAGTGTAACAGTTGCTGATAATATAACCACTTCTATGCCTGTCGTATCCAAGCCAGTCTGAAGAGCTCTAGTATTCCCCGAAAGTCCTTTTCATCATTAGGTATAGCAGATATAACGCAGTTGACATATCATTAAACACTTTGATTTACTTTTACTAAGAAACTGTTGTTAACTACTTCGTTTGTAATGCATCACATCAGCTAGCGCCTTCTGTCTTTTAAGGAAGTACTAACAAGATTACAAATGTATTATCTTTGTCCGACATAGTTTCACCAACACTGCTTAACGACAAACAAAAAACACACACAAAAAAAACGAAAACCTTACAAAACTATTATTTAATTATTATTCCAGTAGTTCTTATCGTTATCAAAACTGAGAGTGAGCTGAGCAAGAAGAATATCTCGTTTTGAGCTTCTTTAACGATTATTATTTTATTACATTTACAGCTTTTACAGTAAGAAGATCTGTTTTTAGAAAAAGTTAAAACTTGTGCACTTGAGAATTGTCGCTCCAAATTGAAACATTATATGTAAATTATGTAAAGTTACAGCGATCGTTCTTTCTATGATACACATATATCATATCATTTTACCAGAAGAAACGTAACACCTTACTTAAAATGTACCTTATATCTAACAGATTTATCAGAACACTAAGTAGAAGTGGAATAATTTTTCACTTCAATAGGTTAGCTAATAACTCGTTTAAATGCACCTATCCTGGTGTAATGTGTGGTTGAACCAGTTTACAAGCTTATTCCTGTAATGATCACGACGTACCGTATAAAGTTCGAACTAAAATACTACTTAGAGTAATTGCAAACTAAAAACTTTAAAGAAAATAAATTTTATCCTATATTCGGAAGTTTTGATTTTACTTGCGGTTCTTTGCAGCTTTGTTTTTGTTGTTGTTTTAAATTTTTCTCATGAGGTTTTATGTAGGCCTGAAGTGTTTGATTTGTAGTCATGGGTCATAACTAAAATCAAGGCAAAAAAAGATGTTAACTTCTAAATAAAAACAACAACAAAACGAACAAGGAATTGTTAAATATATTCAACCTTGAATTATGGTAAAAGGAATTTGTAACTGTGGTTCTGGAGAATGTTAGTGGATTTACTTCCACCTAGAGTTATTCCTGTTGTAACTGTGGTTCTGGAGAATGTTAGTGGATTTACTTCTACCTAGGGGTATTCCTATTGTAACTGTAGTGCTGAGTGATATTAGTGGAGTCACATCCACCTAGAGTTATTCCTGTTGTAACCGTGGTTCATGAGAGACGACAGTGGAGTCACATCCACCTAGAGTTATTCCTGTTGTAACTGTGGTTCATGAGAGACGATAACAGAGTCACTTCCACCTAGAGTTATTCCTGTTGTAACTGTGGTTCATGAGAGACGACAGTGGAGTTACTTCCACCTAGAGTTATTCCTGTCGTAACTGTGGTTCATGAGAGACAATAGTAGATTCACTTCCACCTAGAGTTATTCCTGTTGTAACTGTGGTTCATGAGAGACGACAGTGGAGTCACTTCTATCTAGAGTTATTCCTGTCGTAACTGTGGTTCATGAGAGACGATAACAGAGTCACTTCTACCTAGAGTTATTTCTGTTGTAACTGTGGTTCATGAGAGACGATAACAGAGTCACTTCTACCTAGAGTTATTTCTGTTGTAACTGTGGTTCATGAGAGACGATAACAGAGTCACTTCCACCTAGAGTTATTTCTGTTGTAACTGGTTCATGAGAGACGACAACAGAGTCACTTCCACCTAGAGTTATTTCTGTTGTAACTGGTTCATGAGAGACGATAACAGAGTCACTTCCACCTAGAGTTATTTCTGTTGTAACTGTGGTTCATGAGAGACGACAACAGAGTCACTTCCACCTAGAGTTATTTCTGTTGTAACTGGTTCATGAGAGACGATAACAGAGTCACTTCTACCTAGAGTTATTTCTGTTGTAACTGTGGTTCATGAGAGACGATAACAGAGTCACTTCCACCTAGACTTATTTCTGTTGTAACTGGTTCATGAGAGACGACAACAGAGTCACTTCCACCTAGAGCAGCTTTCGCGTTGAAGATCTTGGAAGATTACTTCTGTATATTTTTCAATATTTTGTAAAGTTATTTTACATATGTGTCTCTACACAAATATAATACTTATCATTTAAACTTAAATTTACACAATGGGCTATCAGTGGTGTGCCTATCGTGGGAATGAGACCCCCGATATTTAGCGTTACAAGTCTTCATGTTTACGATTGAGCTATAGAGAGGGTTGCTAGATATGTTTTAAGATACCAAGAATACTCAAAATTCTCCCGAGTTCACTAAAACACAGTGAAAGTTTTTGATTATTATTTTCAATATAGTAAACGTATATTAAACATTTGAAGTAATAGTAGCAAAATACCAAATGTTCCATAAATTAAAGGGTATAGAGTTAAATGCCGTTTTTTACTTAGTAAAAAACTTAATAAATAGTGTTTGAACTATAATCTAAACAAATATCAGACAAGCAAGTCTGAAGAGATATTACCAGACCTAAATACAAGGCCTAAAAAAATATAAGGTAGTTTTGATTTTAAATGTGATTCCCTTTCAAACATATCATTTCACTGATCTCGGTGTTCCGCTGCAAAAACGTACGTGATATAAAAAGGGCCAATGTCCTTTAAAACAGTTACCCATGGCTCACGATGTATGGTAGAAATAAATATAACCATGCTCATTAAACTTCCGAACCCCAATGGGCTGTCTCATGTTAATGTCAATGAGCAGGCCTCCAGAGACACTCAAGGAAACGCGAACTCGTGTGTAGGATGATCATGCATATGTCTATGTATCAGTATTATATTATTACATGTATTCATTAATCGATCCATCTCTCTACACATACACTTTTTTTTTTCTCCATTTTGAAAAAAAACGTACTGTTTCTAATTATATCGTCTTGTTTGTGAGATTAAACTGAACACCTCAAGATACTACATGAACCATTTTTTTTTTCAGTCATGTTTTGAGTAAGGTCGTTAACCATCAAAACTAAAAATTCATTAACGAAAATTTTATCACAAAATAATATAATGTTACATGATTGTGGTAAAGAAGAAAAGAAAAAGTACACTATTGAATTGTGTTGATTTAGCTGCGAAACTTTGAATTATAATATCTTGTACACAAACAGCCCAAAAAGTTAGCAAGAGGTATCTTCACCATCTCTGGCAAAAATCAGCTTCATTAATTCTGATGTAAACAAAACAACTAGCAAGAGGTGGTTTCATCATCTCCGATGTAAACAAAACAGTTAACAAGTGGTAGCTTCATTATCTCCTATGAAAACAAAGGAGCTGACAAGAAGCAACTTCATTATCTGTGATGTAAACAAAACAGTTAGCAAGAAGAAACTTCGTTATCTCTGATGTAAACAAAACAGCTGGCAAGAGGTAGCTTAATATCTCTTATGTAAACAAAATAATTAGCAAGAGGTAGCTTCCCAGGGAACTGTATCATCTTCACAGACAGTCCAGTTTATAATCTAATTATCTGGTTATGTCTGTTACATCACGTGATAAATAAATGCATGTAACATGTGGATAACTTGGTTCGTTGAATTAAGATTATGTAGACAATTCCTATTCGTTTAGTGTTTCATACGACAGTGGTGTTCGAATTACAGATTTCAGACAGAAAAACTGGTTTATTGCTGTGTATGGTGAATCATTGAAACGAAAGTAGTCTAACACCCCAACATCGGCTTTTGTGTTCAAAACTGGGTTAATTTTAAACACTACCTCAAGAAGAAGAGTTATGCTAAAATTGTATACCCTCCCTTGTTTAACAATCACATTTTGAAGTAACATTTCTCTGTGTTGTTTTAATCTTTTTGTGAAAAAAACAATAATAACACAAATACGTGATATATCTTACTATTTCGGTAACTCATTAAGATATGTACTTAAAATATGTTCTAACTTGTTAAAATATTAATATTCCAAAAATACCGTCACTTCAGCTCCTTATTTTTTATAAAAATTAGTTTAATGTTTGTAGATCTGGATAAAATAACAAGTTGATTTGAGCAAACATCACCTATCATGTTCGGGTTGTAAAAAAAATTAATTTACGCCTTTCATGAGAAGCTTATCAAAGCTATTCATTTCATATGCTTCTCGTGTCTTTCATTGAACTTATTAATTACATTTCGTAAAGATGTTGCAGTCAACTTGAACTACCTCCAATAAATGTTTTGACATGTTATAAACACAAAATCAAACAAGACTCCACTACGCCTCTCTTCAGTCAATTAAGTTTAACGGTACTCATATTCTTTCCACTTATTTCTTTCAGAAACCGTGCAGTGTAAAATTCCAAAGGTCTAAGTACAGCATGAGCTGCTCCACGTGACCAGTAAAGTAACACATTCTTCAGTGTTTGTAAATATCAATCAGTAACACAGATTGACCTTTCTTTGAGGTCGAAACACATGTCTTACAGAGTGACTTTATAGCCTGAGGGCGCAATTAGTGACGTTAGCCAGCTAT